ATACAATTTGAAATATTTTCATCAAACTGGTTAACATAGCCTTCATGTCATTTTCTTAGTTATTGTGTTAAGACATTTATATTCTACATTTAGTAAGATTCTCATGTACCCTTATAAAATGAACCCTTATAAAATGAACCCTTATAAAATGAGGTGTGATCCCACCAATCACCCTCCCTCCATCCGTCCTCCCCCCTCTTATATTTACAAAGTACAAGTGATGTTTTGATACAGGCATACAATGTATACTAGTCAAATCAGGGTAACTGGGGTATCCATCACCTCAAGCATTTATCACTTCTTTGTGTTAAGAACATTCCAATTCCGCTTTTTGTGATTTACTTTTGACCGCTTTCTCTAAGCTGCAAAGAAGCCCATGGCTCTGTGGTTTAGCATGGACGCCTGGGGAACAGGCCCTCTCTTGAAGAAAAAATAGAAACAAAACTATGTCAGTAGTGTTAAATCAGGAAGTCTATGCTAAAGGGTTTAATATCAAAATATAAGTAAGGAATTTCTAAAAGAGGAAAGAAATATCTATTACTTTCATTCAGGGAAGAAAAGGCTAATTTTTCCATCACCAAAGAGTCTTGTTCCTCTTTAACCAGTGAATTCCCAGTGCCCATTTAGTTCAGACATAAAAATCAAAGGAACGTAATCAAAGCAAATTTCACCTTAATATAGTATGATTCTTTGGTAATTTTTGTATATTTTGTGCTCTCTAGGCATTACAAAATTACCTGTGAATGGAACAATGAAAATATCTGTAAAGTGACCTATTAACTATCAGTAATTTTTTGTAAACTAAGGAGCTGAAAGTGACTTATTAAATTTAAAAGGGAGTGGGAAAAATTATATTCCTGTCCTAGGGCCCCCCTGATAATGGTAGGCATGTTCACCCCTTGAGTGCCATTGGGTAGCTCATCTGTCATTCTTTCTGCACAGTAAGCAAGAAGGCCACTTTGGGAGGTCAGGAACACCATGGACCGTGGTGTCACCAGGGCACCTGTGTTCTCGACATCATGAGTCTTTGTTACAAACCCAGAATACAAGCTCCCTGCTCTCTGAAGAGCTAACCCAAGTAGCTCTCTGGACCACGTCCAACTGGCTGAATCTCAGCACAGATAAAACAAGATGAACCTAATTGAAAAGAGGGGAAATTGGCAATCTGACAAGAAATTGCATATCAACTCTTCTTAAGAGCCAGCATTGTCAGGTGAGTGACTAATTTTGAGGTAAATTGCTATATTCAGAATCCCAAAAGGATGCACTGGCAAAAATGCATTCTTTCACCTCTAATCAGGAAATCGAGAGCCAGACATGAACTGTAATTCTAGAAAGTATTGTCTTGAGTTTACTCAACGTGCACTCTGACCACAGACAGCAGGAAGCACTCAATTTGGTCTTGGTAGAAAGCAGTCAAGTACAATGTTATAAGGAGGTAAACACTGAACCAAGGGTCAAAAGTTCGGGCTTTGTTGGGGGGCATAGTGCTCAGGCCTATGATCCCAGTGCTTTGGAAGGCCAAGGCAGAAGGATTGCTTGAGGCCAGGAGCTCCAAACCAGCCTGGGCAACAGAGTGAGACCATGTCTTTAAAAAAAAAAAAAAATAGCCAGGTGTGGTGGCATGCACCTGTAGTTCTAGCTACTCAA